CTTCTTGCCTTTGAATTTGACGAAAATAAAAGATCTTAAAAATAAACTATCCTAAAACCACTGCAGTCTGCGGTTGAGTACCTTTGAAGCTCACTTTTAAACATATTTTTTGCTTAATAGCCTAAGAACACTGATGACCAGGTACGGTCGGATTCATTCAGCTCCCAGAGAAATAAAAGCCGTACTCGTGTTTCGGGCAGCAAAGTAAATAAGTGTGAACTTCCACACAGCTGCACAAGTTTTCAGGTTTCCCAATTAAAGAACCAAAACCAACAATTCTTTGCTTTTCTCTCAGATGTCCCAGTGCTGGTCACGCAGTTCAACATTTGGTATTAAAGCCTCATTTTAACTGCACTTACTGAGATAAACTACATCAATATTCAACAGCAATAAAAGGACTATTTGGTGAAAACTGCTTCATGGGTGTCATGGATGAGGCCAACTGGAGCAGGAGTAAATATTTTTCTGTACTTTTTATCAAATAAATATCTTTCATAATTTTATTTTATTTTTAAAATGTGTTAGTAAACATGCTGTGTGTGTTTGTTTTCTTTGATGTTGTATTTTTTAATATGTTCAAAACAAAGCCACACAACACAATGTGATTGGACTAAATATTAGGAAAGGATTTGGGAAAATTGTTAACATTTTGCTTCATTGTTTCACATCTTTGACCAGAATATCATAAAACCTACAAAAAAGTCCCACCTAATAAATGTTCAGGTGGACGAGTCCCACGGAGAGCTCCTTTTACTCTTGCACACACCAAAACACTGTTCTTGAAACATTTGAATTAGAATTAGAATTAGAATTCAACTTTATTGTCATTGCACATGCACAGGTACAGGGCAACGAAATGCAGTTTGCATCCATCCAGAAGTGCTTTAGTGATATAGATATATTACAATATATATTAGCAATAGTATAGATATGTAAGTATACTACAGAAATGGGTCTATTATGGTATGTTATAATGTACACGGTATGAAGTATGTTGTGAATATTCTATAACTAAGTATGTAAAGGCTGTAGTGAGTACAAGCTATGTACAGGATATGAACAGGATATAAATATGAAAAACTATACAGAATATGAAATAAATAACTTTACAGAAATCTGAGATATACAGCTATACAGAAATGGGAACTATGCAAGTTGTAAACAGTTGTAGGATTAAAGATTATTGAATGTACAGAATGATTATTTACACAGAGCTATACAGTAGTGCAGTTAAGATAAGTGAGGGTGTAGATAGTTTCTACAGAGGCTATATAAAGTGCTAGTGGTTGTGAGTGGTGGTTCACTCCATGTTATTATTGTGTGTTTGAGGGTACAGTTGTCCATTGTGGGTGTGTGTATGTTCAGTCCATGAGTTTAACGTGGGTCAGATGTCAGGAGGCAGAGTTCAGGAGTCTGACAGCTGTGGGGAAGAAGCTGTTCCGGTACCTGGTGGTCTTAGTCCGGAGGCTCCTGTGGCGCCTCCCAGAGGGCAGGAGGGTGAAGAGTCCATGTGATGGGTGACTGGGGTCTTTGATGATTTTCCCAGCCCTTTTCAGACACCGCTTCCTGTAGATGTCTTTTATGGCAGGAAGTGGTGCTCCGGCGATGCGCCCCAGTCAACACACATACGTGGGGCCCAAATAGGGAGCATCAGGGCTAATATTTGGGGCCCACTTGGGAAACCCAACTGGGGTCCAGCTAATTTTGTCCTCAGTTTCCATGGTGGCCCCAAATGTGTTTGCCCACATAGGTTAATGACGGACCCTGGATGGGCCCCAAATCAGGCCCAGCCAATAAACAAGTGTGGGACCCAGATGGGTAGAAGTGGGTCTGATAGTTGGGGCCCACTTGGGTTACCCACCTGGGACCCAGCTACTTTTGTCCTCAGTTTTCATGGTGGCCCCAAGTGTGTTTGCCCAGATGGGCTAATGACGGGCCCTGGATGGGCCCCAAATCAGGCCCAGCCAATAAACAAGTGTGGGACCCAGATGGGTAGAAGTGGGTCTGATAGTTGGGGCCCACTTGGGTTACCCACCTGGGACCCAGCTACTTTTGTCCTCAGTTTTCATGGTGGCCCCAAGTGTGTTTGCCCAGATGGGTTAATGACGGGCTCTGGATGGGCCCCAAATCAGGCCCAGCCAATAAACAAGTGTGGGACCAAGATGGGTAGAAGCGGGTCTGATATTTGGGCCCCACCTGGGTTACCCACCTGGGACCCAGCTACTTTTGTCCTCAGTTTCCATGGTGGCCCCAAGTGTGCTTGCCCAGATGGGATTTTGGATACTACAGTAAGCTAAAATTTAAATCACCTGTACAACAAAGTCAGTTTATCTTTTTTATTAATACTGATTAATATGACATTTTAAAACAGTATGCAGTATAACAGTAATTTTTTATATACTATACAAATATTTTTTTTGTTTAGAGAACATGTTGACAAAAAAGGTCCCCAGTATACACAAAACAATAACAAATCAATGTTATACAGTTTAAACGAAAAAGAAATGCACTGAAACACAGCTTCTCACTCATTCAGTGATCCATTGGTCCTGAAAAAAAAAAAGTGCATTTTTTCACAAATAACATCAGATTTGCAATACTACTGGAGTTGTTTTGAAAGTTGTGCTGATCAAGTTGTTTGACTGGCTGGAGTTCCTGGAGCTGATTGTGCAAAGAAGAATATTGCACAAACTGCTAAACATAACTGGAAATTGTTCACATACCGTAACACAGTGAGGAACCAAAAAACGGTTTAGTGAGAGCTGTCTTCAAGTATGCTGCAAACCAGAGAGAAATATGTGGTCATTCCTGGCAGCAGCCATCACCCTCCAGAACAACATGAGCTGATGCCCCCCCCCCATAAAAAACCCAAACATAATTTCCCTCAATAATACAGTATTTGTAATTAATTTAATCTCCACAGTCTATCTAAACTGAGTCACTAAGGTATACCTCTCCTGCACGTGACACTGTGCCCTTGCCATGCGATTTCCTCCTCTATCTCTTGCACCAATAAACCACTTGGAGCTGCCTTTTCTGCCTCTTTTCTGGTAATCTGGCTTGTAAGAGCATTTTTTTTCAAGCTGCCTGTAAAGCACAGATATTGACCACAAGAAAGTGAGACTATATTACTGAATCTAAAGACACAGCTGTAATTCTCTTTTTTTGTTACATACTTATATTTATACTGTGACACGGCATAAGATCTCACATAAATGTAGAACCAAAGTATTAAAACCTTAAATCAGTGAGCTCGTTCAGTGAGAGACTGAGATTACCGAAAAGCACCACTGAACGACACAGGAAATCATTCCTGCCTGTGGCCATCTCCCTGTACAACGCATCCACTTAACACACTGTTTGCTGCTACAGCTACACATGTTTCTTTTCCAAATATTTATTTATAAGTGACTTATGTATGTATGTATGTATATATATGTATATATTGTACTATTCTTAGTTAGCGTATTGTCTGTCTTGTCTTAATGTTGGTTTAAAATGGAGCACTGTAACAAAAAATAATTTCCCCCAGGGATCAATAAAGTATTCTGATTCTGATTCTGATTCTGATAAATTGATTGGAAGACTGACTACAGCTGAAATGAGCATCTGTTATTCAAACATCAACAAAATATCTTACAACTAATGAGCTTACCATATAGCACTTCAAAAATCTTAAGCCCTCGAAATTCCCGCTTTCCATGGCGCCCAACGAAGTTATATTGCCTGGAAAGAGCATTGTCCATAATGAAGGCCATCATTCTTCTGGTGGCTTCATCAACAGTGCTCCCTCCGATCTCTGCCACAACAGCAACCTTAGGACACACAAGGACAATAATTTTACCGACAGTAGTACCATCAGTCACACCTAAAAGAAAACCTGCACAGCTACACAGTAATTAGGCTTAATAATTTTGATGCTATTTGATTGAGAAAGAGTTAAGTGTCAAAGTCAAACACTGTCTGATGTAAATGCAAAGAGCTAAATGACTGATCCACCAAAAGTAATTTCTTAAGGTTTGGCGTGGCACAACTTGTAAAGTACAACTTATTTTATTTTCAAAAACAGCAACTTTTGTGGAGCTCACCTTCCGCCACTTCATTGCACTGACCATGTTTGAACAAACACCAACTTTCCTTAATCATAACTGCTAGCATAAAACGCAGATTGAGGCATTAATCAATTATTGTCATTACATCATTATTATTTACCACTTCTTTCAGGAAGACAGGGTCTATCAGTTTTTGTTCCAGTGCTTCCACGTCTGCGACTGTCCGGAGAGGAAAAACAGCACCCTCGGGTAATACTGCAGCAACTGGTCCATCACGTTGTTTGAGGAGAGACTGTAGCATTCGACTGTGGATCCTCTGAGTCTCCTTAATGTCTTCCAGGAGGGTTAGAACACGTACAAACATGCTGGTATTGGTGGCTTGTACAAGTTGTCTTGGAACTGGTTGTGAAACCACAGGTGAAGGAGTTGAGGGTGGTGGTAGCTGAACAAATGGATGAGTGACGTTCTGGTGGGGAGTTTCACTTGAATGTCTATTCTCCATTGCTGATGTTGATGAGGTCTCTGGCTGTTCCGCAGCGTTGTCCCAATCCTCATCCGAGCTTGACTGGATCACTGGCCTTAAAATGAATTTTAAAAAATATTAAAAAACCCCACAAACAATTTAGTTACTGGTTAGTCCTACAAACTAAAAACATTAATGTATAGTCCGGCATCAAAAGGAGTCTAAAACTGATTTTTAAAAGTCAAAAAGTTACAAAGTGCTATTTTAAGATCATATCAAAATCTGGTGAGCAGTAATGGTCTGCTAAAGATACTGTCAGCTTGTTTTTGTTTTTCTTAATTATAATCTCCATAATAAACTGTTGCTTTTAAGGTGTTTTCAAGAAACATAATTACCTCCTTTTCCGTTTCCTTTTTCCCAAACTGCTTACAGACTCAGTCTGCAGATCAGAGGTTCTTCAGACCTCGGGAGTTTCACGCTGGTTCTTTCATAGTTTTCTGTAAATTTTTGACATACATCAACAAAATGTTGTTAGTGAAATTACAGGGAAATTTTTTGTTCTGTCTTTAATGACAGAATATTTGGTAGCAATAAACAAAAATGCTTCTTACCAGCTTTCCCCAAGATGCGAACTCTGTACTGTGACCAGTTTGCATCTGGAGTAACTCCATCCTTTACAGCCTTATTGATATTGACTCTCCCTGGTGGCCAGAAACAAGAATCTTCCGCTGGTCCTGTAAACCACTTGCAAGGAATTATGGATACACCTCCACCATCCAGAAAATCAACAACTGCAAATGGATGCATGCTGGTGAGAAAGCAAAAAGAAGCCAACTAGTACAGCAGTGGCAATGCCACATATCCAGACTTCAGTGGCAAAAGCACCATTTTCTGTTTTAGTTCATCAAGTAATACAAGATTCATTTGTTTAGACAGATTTGAAACAAAGTAAATTCCAAGGCATGTTGAGTCCAATGGATAGCTGAAAAAGGCATTACAGTTTTCAAAGACCTGACACAGTGCTTTGACAACTTGGCAATCCTGTAAAATGTTTGCCACAATAAGAATTTTTCCCCCTACATTGAAACAGTTATCTCCCATGGAGCAAGAAACATATGTCTGTCCATCAGTGTATTTTCTGTACTGCTTAAAAGTTCCAAGATCACTTGTTATTGGTCCAGAGTTATGAGGCTGTTTAAGAGGAGAGGGAACAGACATCCTCTCTTTTCTTTTCTTCTGAATACTTTGCGTCTCATAGACGCGCTTGACAATTTGTTCCACAGGTTTATGAGGCCTCCGCACAATCTTTTTCAGTTTACCCAGGAAGGTTTCAAATGGGAAGCAGGAAATACTGTCCAAAGGTCCAAACTTTTTCGCATCTTCAGCTAGGTGTATTAAATTATGTACATTATAACCAACAAATTCAAGACCATAAATCGAACCAAAATCTTTCACAAACTGCTTTAAAACATCCTCTGCATAATCACAGTTCTCAATACACAAATCAGGACTAAGAAGAATTCTTATAGATACAAATAAAAGTATAAAGTGTCTATACATTTGGCTTGGTATATTATTAAATAAAACAACTGGGCCTGTGTAAAGCAAAAATTGTCTCAATTCAGTTGCTTTCCACATGCTAATTTCAAGGAGAGATCTTGGTTTCCTTGCAAAACTTTTAGGCAAATGTTGCCTGACAGAAACCATGAATGCTGAAATCACGGTTAGAATTTGCATAGACTGTCTGCATTTTCGGGGACCTTTTAACCAAAGATAAATAAGTTTTCGCATTACCCCCAGACACACAAGGTGCATATAGTCCAGCACAAAACCTGAGACTAGTCCCACACCCAACTCATTCAGAGGTGACACCCCAACCTGATGCTCTTTGTAGGCCATAGCACGAAAAGTCTCATCAGTCCTTTTCTCAGCAGAAATTTCAGGAAAACACAATCTCCTATTCACATACATGCCCTTTTGAGTGCACCGCTCACACGCATAATAGCCAGTGTGTCCCTTCACACATTTAAGAAAAGCACGAGCAGGTGCATCACAAATGAATGCATCTGGAGCAGCAACACTGAAATGGACACCATTATACTGAACTCCATCTTGTATAATTGCCCTTACATCTTGTACAAAGTCATTCAAGTACTCCTGTACATTAGAAGGTTTGGTTGTACCTGAGTATAACCCGATCACAAAAACATCACAATTTGGGATCTCCTTGATTCTACCCAGAATAGGCCACAGACTAACATTGTTGCTGCGGAATAAAGGTAGACCATCAACATTAATTCTAAGTGTTAGATTGTTTGTTAGTTTCTTTAAATCAAAATCTAAAAGCTCCAATGCTGCAACAATTGAATTCTTTAAACCAAAATGGTAGTATGATCCCCCAGCCACATTTATCACATTACATTTGCGGGCAGTTGACATCAATGTTCGAGCATCTAGTGGTACATTAAGACCTTTCTGTCTAAGAATTTTAAGAAGGGCAGACAAAGCATTATGTGACACATTGTATTCTGCAGCCCACTCTGCAAGTCCTTTTGTATCATCTGGTGTGTCTGAAAAAGCATCAGAATCGAAACAGTCATCGTCCAGATCAAATTCATTAAACTCAGACACCCCACTTTCAGAGTCTTCAGGAAACACGTCAAAGTCCAAAGCATCATAAAAAATGTCTGCAGATTGTTCATTTTGTGAACTGACTCCAGCATGTTCATCGCAATCATGGTACTCTTCCACAAGGGGTTTATTCTCAAAAGAATCTGAGAAAAAAATTAAGTCCTGATGATGATCTAACTCATTCTGCTGTGAAACGAGACGTAAATGTTCAACAACTTTCGCAGCTATTTTTCTTCTCTTTGTCCTCTCAGATTGCTCCATTGCTTTCTGAAAGATAAAATGTATAAAAATGATAAAATGTAGTATTTTTCAGTCACCTGGGTAACAGCTTGGATAGGTTACACTAACTACATCAACAGGTCCTTACTCAGAAATATTATTGGGGCCTGACAACTATCCAAAGCACATTTACATGTTATTAATCGTGGTTAATAAAGCCATTTTCTTAAATTTCATTCACTTTAGCATTTGGCTGTCACTTGTGTATTAGAAATATAGGAACAAAGACGTAAACACAAAGCGCGGAACCGATGCATCAAAATGTGTGAGATGTCAGCTTTTTCGCCGAGGGCAGGTACACTGACACTCCGTCAGGGCTGAAAGCCGACAGCTCACTAATTCTGATGATGCAGGTTTCATCACTCTCCAACCAAAATTAACTGAACCAGCAGCAAAAGAAGATCCAAACTACGCTTCATATTTGATAAATACTGTCATTAATTCCCTCTTGCTGTCTTGTTTTCACCACAATTTTAAAAAAAAAAAGAAAAAAAAAAGAAAAATCACACTTCCTGCACAGCTCTCTCGTAGTGTACTTCGAGAAAAGTTTCCCCATCTGAAATCTGTTTTCCACATTATTCCCTTGCTTATTATACATCAGTGTACGGTTGTGCTTAGCGCTGTTGTCAGTTGTTTTTTTGTGCCAAATTATGCCAAATTGCAAAAAACTCAGCTTGTTCTCTAATAAAACCTCTAACAAAACCTCTAATAAAACCTCTGTAACTTTGCTCTGCTTTACTTCAGCAGCATCAGGTAATGTTCATATATTGATTCATGGTTTTCTTCAGTTTTTGTTCAACTGCAGAATATTTCTAAGGTTATCTGATTTAAAAAGCCACTCCAGGAAAATCTCCTTCATGTTTTTCTGTGTTTTATCCTCAGTTACTTTGGCATAAAGACATCTGCTGTGATGCTTACACCAGCCTTAAAAGCTGTTGTATTACAATAAAAGACCCTGACATCGCTTTATAAAGTAACAATTCTAATTGTTACAAACTCAAAAAAAGATTCCTACTAGTATATTTCTGGCATGAATCAAATTTTGAATATAAATGAATTTTGAAATATACACTGCTTCTTATGTCAAAGTCTGTAAAAATAAAGAAAGAGATAAACCACACATAACCCTTGCTACTATTCACTCCACTGTCCAACAGCAAAATCAAACCAATATACAGATATTAATAACATATTAATGTAATAGTGTGACTATGCAATTTATAAGTAGCCATAGTCAGCCAAGTCATAATCAAAACAACAAACATCTCAAGTTTTGAGGTCATTGCAAACCCTCCTGGCCAATAACCACACAAGCTGTCCATGAAGGAAGGTTGATAAAGGAGCATGCACAAAATTCAAACAAATTTAAGCCATAATGAAACAAATTAAAATAACAGTGCACATGCACAAATCAGGCACCAGACAAACACTTAAAGATCACAGATCTTTAGAACCACATCCAAAGAGCAATTGCTTTTCTTTTTTATAAATAAATAAATGTGTAGATTCTAGCCAAATATACATTACAAAAGGAAAAAAGGAGGGCCACAGCAATCATAGTAAAAGGAGTTGGCACTGTGGCCCTAACAAGACCGATCAGTTCTGCTTAAATAATCAGTTTCCCTCATGTACAGAGCTTGCACAACAGTGAGAGGCAGATTCTAGAGTCAGTACACTATTTCTGATTAAGTTCTCACTAAAACAACTACACACATAAAGTTGCATACTAAAGTGTGTATGAAAAAAAAAACCCAAACAAATCAAGAACACCTATATTTTATTTGCTTTTTCTGGAAAAATGAAAACAATGGCAAGAAAAATGATGATGTCTTCTACAGAAATAGAGTGCTCACTGATCTGCCTCTCTGACTGCTGTGCATGCTCCTGACACAGGGGCAAAAGCTGGGGACTAGTTGCTCATGGCCATGGCCTACCCTCATCACTTAGCGGTGAGGAATGAAGCTGATAAAGACAACACCAAAGCAATTTTGGTTGCTCTGATAGTGAAAATACCCTCCCATATTCCTCTTAAAAAATTAGAACTTCGTTAAATTGGTCTAATACAGTCCTTTATTAATACTAATCATAGAGAAAAACCAAGATAACGTTTAAGTACAACTTGATGTTAAGTACACACAGTAATTAATTTTGGTGCTAGTTAAGCAGTATACAGGACACCAGAAAATGCTTTCAAACTGTGAAAATTGGCTAAATCCAACATTACGTAAAAATTTCAACTAGCTTAGCATTGCTTGAGTGCTAGGAAAAAGTTTGCCAGCACTTGTGCCATTCATTACTTTGCAGCATCATAACTTTGTAAACATTTCATTTATACTTAGGGATTCAAATTAAGTCAAAAAAGTTCTTACCCTTACTGCAGATAAGTTCGTAGCTCAAAGATGCACTTAATCCAAAAATTGTCAGCTTAACTGTCAGCTTTGTCCAAGGGCGCGAAATGAAGAATGTTCCAGAATGGGGGGGGGACGGGTTCAAGAAAACCTCGTGATATTTCATGAAATAACGCGAGATTTCAAAAAGGGTTAACCCTAACCCTCCTACATGGAGTGAAATTTTTTTCCCACTCAAATGTAAAACCATTTATTTTATTTTATTAAGCGTCTTACAATTTTAAGTCATATCTGTTCTTTGTGTTTCACTTATATTAATATATTTTATATGTATATTTTGTTATTAATTAAATATACATATGCTGCCTGTGGCATAATTTATTATCAGTTATTTCATCTTAATTCATGTTTATACTTACACATGACTAATAATTATACTTAACTAAGGTCATTAAACTCAGTTGCCTGTTCATGCAACTTCCCATATGTTACCCATATGGTGCCCATAGAACATAGCCCATCTGGGCTGGCTCAGGTGGGTCCTACCTGGCTAACCCAGGTGGGTCCCAGATTGGATGCCCATTGTAAGCCCATCCCCACTTGGAACCCCCATAGCCCATGTGGGGCCCACATACTGGTGTTTACTGGGGCTGGGCAGTTTTCACGACCCTCTGCAACGCCTTCCGGTCCGAGGCAGAGCAGTTCCCGTACCAGACTGTTATACAGTTGGTCAGGATGCTCTCGATGGTGCAACGATAGAAGTTCACCAGGATGTCTGAGGACAGGTGGTTCTTCCTCAGGGTCCTCAAGAAGAAGAGGCGCTGGTGAGCCTTCTTGACCAGCTTGGAGCAGTTGGTCGTCCAGGTGAGATCCTCGGAGATGTGGACTCCCAGGAACTTGAAGCTGCTCACACACTCCACAGCCGTCCCCTTAATGTGGATGGGTGGATGTGGGTCAGCATTCCTCCTGTAGTCCACGATGAGCTCCTTGGTCTTCTCAGTGTTAAGCAGCAGGTTGTTTGTGTCGCACCACTTAGCCAGACGATCCACCTCCTCCCTGTAGGCGGCCTCATCGTTGTCACTGATGAGGCCAATCACCGTGGTGTCATCTGCAAACTTAATGATGGTGTTGGAACCATCAGCAGGTCTGCAGTCGTGGGTGAAGAGGGAGTAGAGGAAAGGGCTCATCACACAGCCTTGTGGTACACCGGTGTTCATTGTGATGGTAGATGAGCAGTGGTTATCCAGCCGGACATGTTGGGGTCGGTTGGTCAGGAAGTCCAGTAACCATTTGCAGATGAGGGAGCTGATGCCCAGGTCTGTCAGTTTCCTGATGAGTTGTGAGGGGTGGATTGTGTTGAATGCTGAACTGAAGTCTATAAACAGCATTCTGGCGTAGGTGTTGTTGTTGTCCAGGTGTGAGAGGACAGAGTGCAGTGCGATGGAGACTGCATCCTCTGTGCTCCTGTTCTGGCGGTATGCGAATTGGTGGGGGTCCAGGGTGGGGGGGAGACAGGATTTGAAGTGTGCTAGGACCAGCTGCTCTAAGCACTTAGTGATGATGGGGGTGAGTGCTACTGGGCGGTAGTCATTGAGGCAAGATGGGTTGGAGTTTTTGGGTATCGGGACGATGGAGGTGGATTTGAAGCAGGCCGGTACCACAGCGTGGGCCAAGGACAGATTGAATATGTCTGTGAGCACTCCTGCAAGCTCCCCAGAACACGCTCTGAGAACACGCCCGGGGATGCCATCTGGACCTGCAGCCTTGTGGACATTGATCCTGCTCAGCACCGCTCCTACATCGGTGGGGGAGAGAGTCAGAGGTTGGTGGTCTGGCGTCATGTCTGCTTTGGTTGTGGTTGTGGGGTTCCCTCGCTCAAAACGAGCATAAAAGTTGTTGAGCTCGTTGAGGAAGGAGACATCAGAGGATGCGGGGGAGGGTTTGGTGGTCCTGTAGTCTGTAATGGTCTGGAGTCCTTGCCACATGCGTCGGGGGTTGGAGTTGGAGAAGTGTTCTTCTACCTTCTACCTTTGTTGTATTTCTGCATAATTGTGATGGATTACATTCATTTCTTCACCTCTACACATAGAACCCCATAAAGAGAAAGTGAAAAATGTTTGTTTGAAACTCAAATTTATTAAAAATGAAATACAAAAATATAACACATAAGTGTTCACAGCCTCAGCCATGATGGTGAAAACTGAGCTGAGGTGCATCCTGCTCCCACTGATTATCTGTCAGATGTTTTGTTCTGTTGACTGGACATGAGTTAGAAAGGCACACACATCTGTCTGCATAAGGTTAGCAGTGCCTGTCTGAGCTCAAACCAAGCTGTGAATTTCAAAGAATTATGTGTGGACCCCTGACACAGGACTGTATGAAGGCACAGACCTGGGGAAGATGACAAAGATTTCCGCTGTATTGCAGGTCACAATGGGCAGCGTCACCTCCATCATTCGTAAAAAGAAGAAGAACCAGAACTCTTCCTAGAGCTGGCTGCCCAGCCAATCTGAGCAGTCGGTGTAGACGGGCCTCAGTCAGGGAAGTGACCAAACTCTTGATGGCTTCTTTGACAGAGCTCCAACATAGAGAGGAGAACCACTTCTGCAGCACTGCACTAATCAGGCCTGTGTGGGGGCAGACAGAATGACCCGTCAGGAAAATGCACACAACAGCCTGCTTGGAAAAGGAAACTGAAGGACTCTCAGGAAAGAAATTAAATTCTCTGGTCTGATGAAACCAAGATTGAACTCTTTGGCCTGAATAACAAGAATCATGTCATCCCTACATTGAAGCACGGTGGCAGCATCATACTGTCGGGATGTTTTTCACCAGCAGGAACTGGAAGACTAGT